ATGAGAGAAGACGACAGGAGAGAAATAGGAGACGGCAGAGAGACAGGATTGAATTTAGGGTTTGTTTTTAGATGAAATTAATTGGGATGAAAACTTTATAATTAATATTTAATTATATAATTATAACCTGTATCTAATTAAAAATATCTGATTTTTGCAAATTAAAACTTAAAATCTGATTTTGGAATTTAGATCTCTAAAAGTAGGGAAGGGTGTAATTTCCACTATATTTAATTTCAAGTAACCAAACTTTGTATCCAATTAGAAGTCTAAATTAAGGCCCAATTAATTGCTTGCTTCCAAGTCCTCGAACTATAAATATTTTCATTTTTCCGCTATTTTACATTTTTTTTTTAATTTCTTCATTAAATATAGAGCTTTATCTACATAATAAAATATAATATAAATTAAGCAGAATTTTATTCAAAAGATAATAAAATATCATGATTTAGCGTCTCAAATAAGTATAAAAACTACACTTATCACTCTCCCAAACTTGACTTTTTGTTTGTCCTCAAATAAAACTAACACCTAACAAACAAACATGCATTGCTAAATTACCTAATTGGTAGCTAGTGACTCAAATAAAGTAAAAAGATTTAGCTAGTTAACCTAACTTTTTATTTCAGGATTGAAATCATAATATTAAATCTAATCACAACTTCAAAATCACGATACATAAATTAACATCTACTTTTTCAACGTAAAATCGACGTATGTGTGAAGAATTAAACATAGCATTATAAATTTATAAGTTATTTCAATTCCCGACCCTCAATGATCAAATATATTATTTCATCACTCGTACGATTCACACACCCCAAACTTAGGGGGTGTTTGACACCCATTTCTGTGAAAGAATGTGTTTTTGAATAGTGATTGATAGAAGAATGTATGGTTAAAAAGTAAGGAAAATTTTTAGGTTTATGTGTAATATTATTTTATTGATAGAATGTGTGGTTGAAATGAAGAAAGAGAAAAAAATGAGAATGAGAATGAGAAAAAAATGGGTGCCAAACGGGGGTTTATTCTTTTCGTCATTTTCAAATGTGTGAACTAAAATTGAATTTTATAATATCATCACCTCTCTAGTTTAGGCAAATCTTACTAATTGTTAGTCAATATGTCAATTTGTTGGGTATGAACTCCTGGTCTTAATTGTGAACGAAAAATCCAAACAATATATGTCCTCTAGCTCTGGGGAGAGCACTCGAGAAATAAATAGATTTTCCTCAGTATCCAGGGCGGAGCGTATTTTAGGTGAAAGGTGAATCGGTCCGTGGTTTTCCCATGTTACAACTTCCGTATCAATTCGGTTGATCCGGAATGGATAACAAGAATTCTACATAGTTTGATTGTTTCAATCTTTAAGACTTAACTAGACTGATAATTCTTCATCAAAAGTCAAATTTTCCCAAATAAGTGTTTGAGACATAACCAAGACATTTAGTGCGTCTTGTGTTTCATACACATGCTTTTTCTGATTTTCTCAATTTTTTTCAATTTTTTCTTTATTTGAAGTATTCTAATCTTTGAGCTTTCTAAATGACTCATGTAACAAACTTTCGGCCGATAACTCCGAAGTTAGATGACCATATGGCACCGGATTTTAGATACCATTGCAAACTTAATTGATCGAGTTATAAAGGCTACGAAAAGAAATTTTCAAATAAAATAATAATTTTTTATGCTTTGATTAGTGCAATATCCCTCATTAAACATCAATTTAAGAAAAATAACCTCTAACTTGATATTTTCATCCAATTTCATCCTATTGACATTAGACAATCCACACAAGATTTTTTTCCCACACGGAATCCCCATTTATTTTAATATCTTCCCACAACAGTGAAATCCTCCAAACTATTCTAAATTTGGTCCAATGATGTAAAATTTTGTGGTTTTGAGTTTAGTATCTATGGTCCACTATTTCAACCTATCTAATTATGAATTCAACTTATTCATACACAATGTTTAACTTAATTCATGTGTTCAATATATATCAAATTTCATATGAAAAAGCAAAAATTAATTTAAGTATGCAACTTATTCACTATTCATAGATCAATTTATGATTCAATACATTGCTCATTACCAGTCAGATCAACTAACTCACACAAGCACACAAAAAGTAAATATTTTTGAAAATTTTCTATTTTTTAAAAACAAATAAATCACACAAAAACACATACAAAAATGAAAACTCTCATGTTTTCCACCCCTAAACTTGAACTAAACATTGTCCTCAATATCTTAAATTCTAAATTCGTATATAAAGGGGTGGGGAAGAAAGTGAAGAAAAAACTCCCCTGATATGGGGTGTAATTCAATGGTTAACTTTCCTATTACTTCCATGACTCCTTGGTCAAAATTAGTTTAAATGTTCCGTGACGTCATGTTCTTGAAAAATCAAATAAAGTATTAAGATCAAATAATTGGAACAAGTGTTACTTAACTCTAACATCTAATAAACCAACACATCGAATACCTAAGAGGAAACATGGTATGGATGACGAGTCCTAAATAAACTTCAAATAAACTATCCTAAAATGCGAAAACGGAATAAATAAAAAGGAAAAACACGTGGATTACCTCCTAAGAAGCGCTTCTTTAACGTCATTAGCTTGATTTAACCAAATTGTCTACGTTGAATCTTCAGGTGGCACGTCTCTCATGTTTCTAAAATTTATCCTTGACTTTGTATTAATCTTCACTATAGCATGATAGATAGAATTGGACGACTTTTAACTCTGGTATAGCCTTCAAAACCTCTTTTGATTTGATATTGTTTCGAGGTTTCCAAGGTTTTTCCACATAGCTCTCATTTTTGTTAGGTGGATAGGCTTTATGAGCCAATAGGAAGTCAAATACTTCATTGGTTCCTGAGTATTTACAAGTAAGAGATTTATCCCTTACTAAATAACTGGTAGTCATGTGCTGCATTAGAGCGTCATAGAGTAAATACCTTTTTTTCTCTTTTACCTACAACCTCTTCAACTGATTGGATCATATTCCAAGTGTTAGCTTTTTCTGGAGGTTTTTTCGCTTGCTAGACGTTGAAATTTATGTTCTCATCATTAACCCGCAGTGTCAACGTTCCTTTGTATACATCAATT